CTCAGGACTTCACTTGTGAGGCGGGTGGCAACACCACTGAGCTAAATCCCTGCCCTCCCCTAGTGTTTCTTTGAGCACCTTGAGATCCCCAAATTGAACCCCCATTTATTAGCACTACAGCCTCAAAGACTTAACTATAAAACTACATAAATTGAATCCCAAATTGTAAATTTTGGCTCTTAAATCATGATCCAGACCTAAAATTAAAACCAGCAAATTCCCAAACTTTTTTTTTCTCATTGAGTTTATTGGTACATTTTAGGTATACAGTATAGTTACATTTATCATTGGGCTCTTGTACCTTTACATGACAGGTCTTGGTTCTCATTTTTTCCCCATACCCCTGCCATCCCCAAACTTTGACTTTAGAACTGAGACCTCAGTTGTGAGATGCCAGACCCTGAAATACAGACTATGTGGCCAGAAAACTGTGGCTGGAGGCCTCTAGACTGTGATATTAACACTAAAATTATGACTTTCAAGTACCAAAGTAAGAACCTAGAACCCAAAAATTAGTCCTTCCAAACCCAAAACTCCAATACTGATACCCTAGACCCCCAAAATGTCAATTTCTAATCCTCAATAGGACTCGAAGGCTAATATCAAGTCCAGAGCCCACAAACCTTAACCCTGAACATCTAAAGTAAAAAATCCAGACCCTCAAAACAAACCTAAGTCCCTAAAATTTACCTCAGATCCTAAAACAAATGCTTCTAGACCCCCAAACCATTACTTCAGACCACCAAAATGTAACTTCAACCTTAAAAGTGAGATCTCACGTGAATCCCACTCAGACCCAAGACCCTAAAACTGAAACCCCCTATCAATGTAGGAATTCCTGCCCATAAAGCTTAATATCTTCAACTCCTAATCTCACATTCCATACTCTAAATTGGATTTTTTTTTTTTTTTTTAATTTTTGTACAGGGGATCGAATTTGGGACCTTGTGCCTGCGAGGCAGGTGGTGGCACCACTGAGCTAAATCTCCGGCTCTCCACATTGGAATTTGAAGTCAGAGGTCTACACTGAGGCATCAAACCTCCAAAATCAGAGCCACCCCACCCCCACCCCCATGATATTCCAGAACTCAAAACCAAGACTTCCAGGTCCCCAAATTAGGGTGTAGGGATTCCAAAAAGAAAGCGTCCAATCATACACCCAGGTTCTTCAGATTCGCATTACCTCGGATAGAAATCCCAGTCCCACTGAGCGCAGATCCCCAAGGCTAGCAGGGCCGGCCCGGCCTGGCCCCTACCCCACACCCGGGGCATGTCTGTCTCCCCTTATCTCTTCCCCCGCCACAAAGTGCCACTCTAGGAACCCTGGCCTCCCCTGGAGCCATCTAGGGGGGTTCCCGCCCCAGTCCCCTTGGCCTACAGCACCCGCCTCAGAACGTGCAAAATGGCGTGAGGTCCTTCTGGTCGTGCCAGCCCCAGAAATGGAAGCCAGATGCGACAGCGTCCCTTGCTGGTCCTGGAAGGGCACGAGCGAGCCCAGAACGCCTGGTTTCCAAACTCGGAGTGGGATAGCACCGAATTCCGAGCGTTTCGAGGCTCCGAGGGTTTCGAGACTCCGCGTGGCGCGAGGCTACGTGTGGCTCGAGGCCTGAGGAGTGGAACCGCAACGCTCTCCTGAAGCCACGCTGTGGAACGGCACGGGCCAGAGGCACTGCGCACGCGCACCTGCGGCGCCGGCCCTGTCCTGAGCAGCTCCAGTTGAGCTTCGCGCCTCCTGAGGAGAGAGTTGGTGCTGCGCGCCAAAATGTCAACCAATCAGTGCTCGTTCAGCTACCCGCCTTTTTTAAGGGCCAAGCCTCCAGACTCTTTTCAAGGTCCAGTGTTCTTGGACCCAAAGGAGGAGGCAGGTTTTCCCCCAGCTGCCAACTGGAGGTGGAATGGTGTACTCTTAGTCTCTCTTTTAATTTTCTGTGCTCCATTTCTACCTTTTCCCTTCAGTGCATATTTAAATAGGCCCCAGTATGTGCCAAGCCCCATGGTGCATACTGGGAACTTTGCCAAGCTTCTTTGAGCTTTAGTCCTAGCAGTTCCTTTCACGAGGTGCAAGGTCCTTGAGCCATAAACAATCTGTACATTTTAGAAAGCTCATTCTCGTGGCCCATGCAGAAGGCAGGCTGGAAAAAGGCATCTTATGTTTTTTCTCGGTACTGGGGAACAAATCCAGGGACACATTATCACTGATTAACACCTGTAGCTCCTTTTACTTTTTATTCTGAGACAAGGTCTCGCTAAATTGCCCAGGCTGGTCTCAAACTTGTGTGTTTCTCCACCCTCAACTGGGATTACCGGTGTACCCATCATGCCCGGGAGAAATATATACAAGGTTTGATCCAAAGATACAGTGAATGTTTAAATTAAAAATGTAAGAAAAACTTATTATAGTAAAAGAAACATTGCCAAGAAGGATGTGACAAATGTATTCGAATCAAGGGAAAATATTTTGAGAGGGATTAATGACAATGTATCTTTTACTATAATGAATTTTTTAAAAATTTAAACATTTCACCATATTTTCAATTACATCCCATATGTTAAGGGGAGGTGATCTAAGTATTTCTGTTCACTTTCCTGTGTTGCTGTGGACAAAAGACTCAAACTCTTCCTGAAGTTTATAGATTTGACACCATAATTGTTACTAGGGTCTGAAGAATATCTGGCATAGGGTTAGCATGTAATAGTTCCTCAACCCATATTTACGCTGTTTCAGGAGTTTGAACAAGTACACAGATGTGGACTAGCTCCTGGTGTTCTAATGTACAAGCTTTTCTCCCTCCCAAGCTCTCATTTTCCCATTTGTAAATTAGGAGGTGGTAGGAGGTAAGGGAGGGGTGGATGGGAAAGTGTTTGGGAAAGCACAAAAGCACTGGTAGCTATTGTGTTAATCATCATGAGTAAATCAATAAACTTCCAGGTTCCGAGTTCGATCCTTGTCACCAAAAAGAAGTCAGTAAACTTCCTCTTCCTCTACTTTCCACCTTTCACTGATATTCCTTTGCAATTCCTTCAAATAGCTTTCCAAGAGCCCTGAGCCAAAATGGGAGAAAGCTGGACTCCATTTCCCAGCGGGCCTCGCGGGAGAACTTTCTGCGCCTGCGCTGCCAAATTCTCCCTTTGCCTTTTGGGAGATGGTCGTGTTTTTTGTTTTTTTTTCTTCCCCCCCCCTCAGCCCACCCACTGGCTTCCTACCCCACCTCCAAGCTGCCGTGCTCCCTTCCGGGAGATGTAGTCCTTAATCTCCCGGACTCCAGTTCCCAGAGCCCTTTGGGGCTCGAACCCGGAAGGGGAGGCTATAGAAGAGCGAGTAGGGGCAACTCGCGTAGTCGAGGGAGCTGCGGCGCGCGGAGATGGTGAGAGCCCCAGGCGGGGTCCGGAGGACGCTGGAGAGTGTGGGCGGGAGTTCGAGACGCGGGGAGTTGGGGGAGGAAGGAGCTGAAGCTAAAGAAAGGGCTGGGCGCGAGGAAATCGTCTGGGGGAGGGGATTGGGAGGAATGGGAGTCCGAGGGAGTGTGTGTGGGGGTGCTGGGGAGGGGTCTTGGAGGTGGGGAGAGAGCCGAGCTATGGGATAGATTTTTAAGGGGGCTCAGAGCTGGAGAGGAAGGTTCAAAGTTGGCGTCGGGGCTGGGCGTCCAGGCAGAGACCCTGAAGGAAGCAGTTTTGAGAGCAGTTTTTATTTTCCTGGGGGGTGTGGAAAGCCTTGGTGGTCAGGGTTAGTTGTGTGAGAGAGTCTGGAGGTTCCCAGGGAGAGGCTAGCCGTGGATGCTAGGGATCGGGTTCTCTGGAGTGGATTCTGAGCAGGAAGACAGGATGGAGAGGTGGGCGGCAGAAATCAATGAGAGTGTAGGCTGGGTTCCAGGACAGAGGGTGGGGTGGGGAGCATGAGTTTAGGGACCTGGATGTGAAGATGCTGGCGTGATCCAGCCAGAGACTCCAGATAAACTGGACAGTTACAGAACTGTCCAGAAGTAAAATAATATGGCCAGAAGGGACTGTAGAGGCCATTGTTGGCACTCTCACATTCTCTGGGATTTAGAAGAGTGTAAGTGGTTTATCTGCGTGGACAGTTTAGATCCCTTATTCTGCTCTTCCTTTGTGACCTAGGCCAGCCTCTTTTCTGTAAGCCCCAGTGCCCATATCTGTACTGTGAGAACAAGCCACTGACAGGGCTAAAGGGCAGCTTCTTACTGTTGGTGGGAGACTAAGTCTCAGCGCTGTTTGTGGGAAGCTCTCCATGCCAGGAGTTTGCCTGGGTTACAACTGCTGATGGATTCCCTCCTCTTCAGTGCAGCCCCAGAGGCATTTTCCCAAATCCTAGCACTGATGTGAGTGCACCCCATCAGAAGCACACTCCCTGCAGTCTGATCCAGCTAACACTTACCTGTTTTACCAAATGCCTGGCTGTGTTTTTAGCTGTTTGTTCATGACAGTTCATTTGATTCTGACAGTACTTCTAAGATGCAAGTGCTTCATCTTATGGAAAGGAAGCAGGCACAGAGAAGTTAAGCAACTTTTGCAAGGTCAGCTAGCATTATATGGTAGACTCAGGATTCCTTAGGCATCCTGGCTCCAGATCTGTACTTTGACTACTATAATCGCGACCCCTCTCCTTATATTGCAGTAAAATGTGGTAAGTAGGGATGGAGATCAGAGCAGCCTTTGGTTCGAATTTTTAGTTCTGCTGTCTATTTGCTGTGTGACCTTGGGCAAGTCTTTTAGCCCCACCTCAAACCACCCCCTTTCACTGTGTGATTCTAGCTGGCCTTGAACTCACTGTGGAGCCTGGCTAGCCTCAAACTCATGGCAATCCTGTTTCAGATTCCTGAGTGCTGGGATTGTGTATGCCACCATGCCCAGCTGAAGTTTATGGTTAAAGTCACCTGCTCCAGATAGGCCCAGGTTCATATCCATGCCACGTTGGTGTGTGTCCTTGGCCAAGCTGAATACCCATGTTGGGCCTCACTTTTCTCATATGTAAAATGGGACTGCATCAACTGATGAGATCAGGTCTCATAAGGATCTTTTTTTTTTTTTTTTTTTTCTGGTACCGGGGATCAAACTCAGGATTTTGTGCTTATGAGGCAGACTGCAGCACCAGTGAGCTAAATCCCCGGCCCTTATAAGGAGATGATAAATGTTTTGTTTGGGCTTGGTTTGTTTTGTTTTTGTACCAGAAATCGAACTCAGGACCTTGCAGTTGCCAGACAGGCACAGTGCCACTGAGATACATCCATGGCAGGAGATGATAAATGCATATAGATTCTTCCTGTGTGTTAAGCTCTTACGAAGTACGAGGTCCTTCTGTGATGTTTATTCCTCCCCTCAAAATTGTTTCAATCACAGGCTCTGGTGCTAGAATGTGTAGATTTGAATCCTGGCTCCAGCTTTCACTGGTCATGTGACCTTAACTCTTTTGGGCCTCAGCATCCTCTTCTGGAATGTGGGGATTCATTTGTTTATAGTGAAAAAATGTTACAGGAGCACCTGCTATATACCGGGCCAGGACTGAGTGCACACTGGGGCTGGGCCTGGGCCTCCAGGAGCTTTCTGTTTTCATAACATCAGGATGTCCTTTTGCTATCTTGAGGGTTTGGATTCTAATCTATTCCTTATTCGTTTTCAGAACCTTATGCCAGCTTTGCCTGCTTCTCGTTGCTGTCTTAGATTTTAAAAAGTTAATATTGGGACAAAAATTGAGCTCAGTGGTGCACAAAGTCCCGAGTTCGATCTCTGGCACCAAAAAAAAAAGTTATTAAAAGTTTTTTCTTTTTTCTGGGGCTGAATATCAATCCCTGGGTTTTGTGCTTCTTAGGTAAATGCTCTATCAGTGAACTACATCCTCGGCCCCTACTTATTTATTTATTGTGGTATGGGGTATTGAACCCAGGACCTTCACAATAAGGAGATCAAACTTAGGACCTTGCACTTGTGAGACAGGCAGTGGAACCACTGAGCTAAATCCCCAGCCCTTTTTTTTTTTTTTTTTTTTCCGGAGAAAGAGTCTTGCTAAATCACTGAGTAGCCTACGCTGAGCTTGCCATCCTCTTGTCTCGGCCTCCCAGAATTCTAGAGTTACAGGTGTGGGTCATCAAAGTGGGCTTGTGGATTTTTAATATTCTATCACCAGCCTTTCTTGAATTATCTGAAAACCTACTGGTTCAGGAGAAAGTTGTGTATCTCTCACTTGTCCCTATTCCTCGATGTCACATCTGGGTGAGGTGACACTTTTTAAAAAACTTTTTGCCTTTGTCTTAGAAAATGCTTTCCAAGTTATTTTGCCTTTTCTTAAAATCTTAAATGTGTTCTCAGCCTGTTCTTGTCTGAAGCTTACTCATACAAAATGGTCTTTTTACTGTTCTGTTTTTTTTTTTTGAAACAGGGTTTCCGCTGTGTAAGTTCAGACTGTCCTTGAACTCCCAATGTACCCCAGGTTGGCCCCAGCTTGTGGTGATCCTTCTGCCTCGGGCTCCCAGAATGTTGGTATTACAGGTGTGCACCACCACACCCGGCTTCTTTTTTACCGTTTTAAATGGTGTATTTCTAGCAAACCCAATAGTAACAAAAGAATGGCCCTAAGCCAGGTGTGGTGGCACAAACTTATAACACCAGCATTCTGGGAGGTTGAGACAGGAGGATCATAAG